TTGGGAAAAATCAGGGTAATCTGAACAAGAACTAGATACAGTATTTAGGATGTGTTGATTTTCTTAGGTATATTAGAGACTTAGTCATATGTAAGAATGTCTATTCTTAGACGATGAATAGTTAAGCATTTAGGGATGAAGTGTCATAATATAACTTTCAAATGATTCAGAAAATAAAAGGAGAACAAGAGAGCCAGAGTGAAGAATGACAGCAGGACAGGAATGATAGTGAGGCCAAAGGGCAAGAGACCAAGAACAATCAAGTGGAGTGAGAAAAAGACCAAGACTGACTGACAGAGGCAGAGACTAAAGGACCAATAGGTACAGAGAAGACAGAATGAGATAGGGAAAGACAGACCCAGTCAGAGCCAGACAGATGGGGCAGAAAGAAAGATACGAAGACAGAGAAATAAAGCAAATAGTCACTGAATCCACATGAAGAGTATATGGCTGTTTATAGTACCAGTCATTTAACTTTTGTAAAAGCTTGAAATTTTTAGAATTAGGTAGAGGGGGAAGGGTGTGAGACAAAGCTTAAGAAAAAAATAAATGCACTCAAACCTGGTTCCCTGTGAGACTGTACACAAGGACCATGTCTTACTCATCTTTTATTTCCTGGTACCAAGCAGAACATTAACACACAGTGATGAGCAGACATTTATAGAAAGAGAGAGAACTTCTTTTCTTTAAAATACAACTAATATGTATGGGGCCCTGAACGTGTGTTGAGAAGTACAAAAAGCTTTCCTTCCCTGACTTCATTAGATCCGTGCATCAACCCTAAAGTAGATATTATTATTCCCCATATTAGCAATGAGGGGATGTGGGCACTACAGGTTAAGCAATTTCCCAGGCCACAAAACTACCCAGTGGCCATGGCAGGCTTTCCAGCAGTTTGCCTCCAAAGCCTCCATTCAATTCCCGTGCTCTGGTGCAGCGAGTCCTCAAAGTTCAAAATGTACATAACATTTACCTCAGACTTGTATAAAATGCAAGGTCTGAGCCCCTCAGAGAGGGCTGGCATGGGACTAAGAATGTCTATCTTTAAGGGGTACCCCCAAACAACTGATGCCAATGATATGCAGACCATATTTCAAGAAATGCTGCTCAAGGACAACACAGAATGACAGAGGAGAGGCTTCAGGAGTAGGATCAGGGTGTGTGTGAGCAGAGCAGCCAGGAAACCACAACTGCTTGTGAATAGTTTATTTTTAATAAAATGCCAGCTTTATCACAAGACACAAATCACTAAGGACAGATAAGGCCATTTTACTTCTGTCTCGCCATAATGGACAAGGGTAATGAAACAAAATGGTGTCTGAACACCTCAACCCTGAGTTCAAGTGCTTTGTGAATATTCCGATTTCTGATCACTTGTACACTGATATCAACAATATTTGATACTTTCTAAGAGAAATACATTTTGGTATTGCAAGGTTCTCTTCATTTCATTTGAGGTCAAAATGGTATCGAGACAAGTATATGTCCAAACTTCCAGAAAAGAATAGAATTCTACCTTGTAAACAATGTTATATAGACAAGAACTTCATAAGCCAAACACATGAACAGAAGTTGAATCATTTGTCAACTGTATCCAAAGACCTCATGATTATTAGTTTAAAAAGTCATGTTATTGGTTTCTATATTATGCATCTTCAATCCTTATAGTGAAAGCAATGCTGAATTAGTGCTTAACCTCTAACATACTATGAAATTCAAAATAAATTTTAGGCAATACCACCATCTTATCCACCAAATACACACCTCTTATTTTCTTCAAAGACAGAACTTCTTATTGATAAATATAACTTATTGAATGCAAACTAACTTTGACCTTCCAGCACATTAAGAAAATAAAGAGTAATAAAGTAAAACATGTTTACTAGATGGATTAGTACATGATTACACTACTAATCCATCTTACAAATTTTAGAATGATTATTTTGCTGCAATCAAAACACTTTTATCATGTACTGATCCATCCATGGTCTATTATGCTATTACTCTCAGGACCAACTGTGAAAAGTTAGAAGATTTCTCTCTAGGAAAACAAATAACCAATAGCCAAAGATCAAAGCTTAGTAAATTATAAGGCTCTCTACCTGAATATTTCCAGATGAGGGCAATAAATACCGTGAATTTATTTATATGTTAAATCCAACTAGCAATTCACTATATGCAAACAGTTGTTTAATTATGAATACAAGCAATTTCCACGAAATAGGTTTGCTAAAATCCCATCCAGGCTATAAAGACTGGGAACACTGCTTGTCTACTGGCCATGCTTTCAAAAAGTAATATTTCAATTATATATATATATATATATATATATATATATATATATATATATATATATATATAATATATATATATTATATATAATATATATATAATATATATATATCTGTCCTCTGTGTTCTCAACCACCATACTACTAAGTACAAACCTATGGCTTTAACTTCTCTTGGTTTTCTCTCTTTACAAAAGACAAGATCTATAACATCACCCAATAACCAGGGTCCAAGTAAACGTCTTAACATTACAAGTATCTTAAGCATCAAAATGTTTTACTTCCAGAAGGGCCAGCTTTCTTATTCGGTAATAAGTAGTGTATTTTCTATTTATTTTTGTCTGAGAAAGACATCTGTGGCAGAAAAAAACATTTGTAATGTGCCCCTCACACTCTGCAGCTAGAGTTTGCCGGTATAAATCATTAGAAGTGAGCAGGGTGTGAAATACTGAGTAGGAAGTTCATGAAAGCTGAAACACAAACAAGTTGCTCCAGTACAAAAACTCCAATGTGATTCTATGGGGTTATTTTGGAAGAAGTTAGAGACTGAATTGAGCTCAGGCTGGCCCCTACCTGGGTACAGCAGACCCCCATGGGGCAGTCCACTCTGCTGGCCCAGAAAGGAGGGCTCCTGGCTCTTATACTATTTTGTACCTGCTCTCTACTTACAGGTGGGGACACCTGAGTCTAATTAGGCCAACAAGACGCTCTCTTGCCTGGGAATTTTGAACTGACTAAAACTGTAGTCTCCATCAGGATCAGTCCCTGGAGGAGAGTGAAACTATTCAAGAGCTGTGCAGCAGCCACTCTTCCATGTACATATGGCTCACCAAGCCATTCCCTGGGTGGAGGGCGGAGGAGGTACAAGGGGGAGCTGAGGAGTCCCTGGGTTCCCTACTCCTAAACTACATTTGCTTAGTATTCACTGATAAAATAAAGTTACTGATAAAACAAACTTGATCAGTCTTGTGTCATTTTTATTGCTATTTTTAGGAGAGGAAGAAAACTGGATAAACTCTGATAGCTATAAATGACAACTAGTTAAGGGGAAAGATCAAGAACTATAAGAAGCAAAACTAAGAATTCTAGTAGTACAATTTTATGTAGACTCCATATAGCTTCACATAACCCATCAGTATAAAAAGCATCTCTGTATTATAATACAGAACAACACATAAAGCTCAAAATGCTATACTCTGTTCAAAGGTAAGTGTTTAATCCAAAGCTGAATAATAAGAAAGAACACTAGTGCTTATTAAAGATATGACTGATACACACTCCAAAAGTACTGCATAATATTATGTAATCTGTAACTTTTTCTCTTTGGTCCTAACAACTTTAATTATTCAGCAATATCATATAGGCCTTTTAAAAATGTTTCTCATGTCTCCATTTATAAAAGGTCTAGCTTCCCCTTTATCTTTTTATATGGTTATGCTTCTTTTTAATATAGTTACACTTCATGTTTTGCATAATTAAAATATATAAACAACATACAAGAAAATTTTTATTTTTGATTTCTCTTGAAGGCACAATTTTTTTCTAAATAGTTGCTGTTTAATTGCCATTCATATCTAGAATGCTCATGCTTGAAAATTCACTATAATCAGAACTTTAAACTTTCACCAATAATTAACAAAGACAGAAAACTGAATATTCAATGAACATTTCTACTCCTCCTAAGCTGTTTTCCCACAGTCTTTATCCATGTTTTCCTCTTCACTGGCCTGCACTATCGCTGTCCTTTTTCCACCAACCACCCAGGGAAAAGAGAAAGGAGTAAACTAATCCAGATCTTAGTTAATTTGTGTTTTGATGCTGGAATAGAAAATAAGATTCAATAAGCAAGTAAATTCTCCCTTAAGATCTCATTAGATATCAAAGTTTTCAATTCATATCACCATATCTTATCAGACATTTTTCCCCTAGATTAAAGATCCTGGTTGGTCTGTTTTTAGTATCAACCAAAACAAGTTATTCAGGTCTACCACCCATCTAAATAACACCCTATATTAGCTTTCATAGACACCAACCACATTATAGACAAATTAAAGTGCTTTATAATTTCTTTAGTCTTTATTCAACCACTAAGGATTAGGCAGACAGTCAAATCATGCCTAATTTGAAATCACTTTTTAAAAAAAGCACCCAGAAATAGTTCTCAACTTAAATACCAATCATAATATTTCATGCTAAAAATGTAGTACTTACCTAGGTAAAATAGTGTATGAAAAACCCTTGCCATTTTAAAATTTCCTAATCTTCACGAAAATACCTTATAATTTTTCCTAAAATGGTAATCGATACACACTAAAGTTAACTGGCCAGCCACAGTGGTTCACACCTATAAACCCAGCACTTTGGGAGGCGGAGGTGGGAGGATTGCTTGAACTCGGGAGTCTGAGACCAGACTAGGCAGCATGGCAAGATCTCATCTCTACAGAAAATAAAAAGGTTAGCCAAGAGTGGTGGTGTGCACTTATAGTATCAGCTACTCAGGAAGCTGAGACAGGAGGATCACCTGATCCCAGGAGATTGAGACTGCAGTGAGCCATGATTGGGCCACTGTACTTCATCCTGGGCAATCCCAACTCAAAAAAAAAATAATTTTAATTGAGCATTATATGACCTAGGAATTTAACAAGCTATTTCCTCTACAAAAAAGAAAGTGGTAGAATTTAAACAATAACAATAAAATTTGTATACTTACCAGCTTCTCAATTTCTGATTCAAGATTCTGTATACAGTCAAGTTTTCTCTTGCGACAGCGCTGTGCAGCAATTCTGTTTTTACTTCTTCTTCGAATATCATGGATACAATCCAGTTGTTCTGGAGTCAGCTTGTGCATTTTCAACAAGGATTGAAAATCATTTCGGGAGAGTGAAATTATTCGCTGTGCATTGAATGGCAGTTTTACCTAGAATGTGAAATAAACATTAGTAAATGTTATTGCACCATGTAATTATACTTAAATCTTGGAAGATGAAGTTATACATCTAGGTCTTTCAGAGAACTTATTTTAGATTTTTTTTAAAAATAGGCTCCTATTCCTAATTTCTATACAATCCAATATAATAAAAACTGATAATTTGACATTTCTAGTGTATTTCAGAAGACAAATAAAGAAGCTGATATTTTTCTAGAAAATCAAACATATTAATAGAAATGTTGACATAATTAAAAGTGGAAAGTTAAAATTTAAGTTATTTTACTATTTCATGTTATACCCCATGGATATTTTTATTCAACCCAAAAATAAAATATATTTTATTCTTTGAATATTATTACATAGTACTGATTTAATATTAGTATAATTATGTCAGTAATTTCTAAAGCATTTCAGAAATGTTTTCTGTCAAGAAAATGGTACTTCACATAACTCATTTTAAAAGCTACACATTTCATTTGCCAATGTAGAAAAGTTTGGAAAATTCTTAATATTATAAAGTCATTTCCAACATATTTAACTTTGGAAAAAGGAGAAGATAGCTTTTTTAAAAAATAATAAAATGTTGGGTGTTTAATCACATTATCAAAAATGCAAATAAAAACTGATCAGCAGTCAGGCAACCTACTTAGTTTGCCTTTCAAACTTACAGAAATTAGTTACATAAAATTTTAAATTATTAAAAATGGTTTATTCTTAACATTCTTTTCATAGTAACTCCAAACACTACATTTACAAATGTAATAAAAATCTATAGATGTAACCCATGCATACATATCACTTCTTAAATAACCAATCTACCTCCTTCCAAAGCCAAGAAAGAAAGAAAAAAGCCTCTTTCAAATCTGTCACCAAATAAGGTATAAAGCCAAATAAAATTCTAAAGAACAAGATGTGGAGAAACTGGAACCCCTATACACTGCTGATGATAAAATAGTGCAGCTGTTATGGAAAATAGTATGGAGGCTTCTCAAAATAGAAAATAGTATGGAGGCTTCTCAAAATATTAAAAATGTAACCACGATATGATCCATCAATCTCACTTCTGGATATTTATTCAATAATTGAAATCAGAATCTCAAAGAAATATCTGCACTACTGTATTCACTGCAGCATTATTCACAATAGTCAAGATACAGAATGTCCTTGGATAAATGAATGGATAAAGAAAATGTGATATATATATATTTCTTTATATAATATATGAACATATATTTCTTTATATATAAACATATAAAATATATATAATATAAAAGTCAAAGAAATACTATTCTGCTTTATAAAAAGAAGGATATCCTGGGCAATCCCTTCAGGTCCCCTCCTGTGGGAGCTTTTCTGTTTTCTCAATAAATTCTGCCTTCTAAAAAAGAAAGATACCCTACCACTTGCTAAAATATGGATGAACTGGAAAGCATTATGCTAGACACAGGAGAACAAATTCTACATGATCCCATTTATACAAAGTATCTAAAATAGTCAGAATCAAAGAAACAGAGAGTAGAATTGTGAATGCCAGGGAATGGGGAGGGGAAAAAATAGGGAATTTCCAATCAGTGGATGAAGTTTCAGTTATACAAGATGAGTAAGTTCTAGAGAGCTGCTGTATGACATTGTGCTTATATTTGACAATAGTGCATTGTGTATTTTAAAATGTGTTACAAGGGTAGATTACACCACAATTTAAAAAAAAAAAAAAGCCCAAAAAAGGAGAAAAATGAAATGGTAAAACAAAAAACTAATTTGTAAACAGAAAGTATAAATTACAACTATAAAGAGAAAATTCTACTATTGAAAAGTAAAGAAAATGATATTTTTTAAAAATTTGTTAAAAAAAAAAAAAAAACAGGCCCTCATTACTGGATTTGTAGTAATATTTTACAAAAAGCAGCTATCAAATATAACTTTTATACATACAGTACATAGATCAAGTTTGGTATGCTTAATATCATACCAGCTACATGTAGCTCATGCTAAATTATTAAGACATTCATTAAACTGATAGCTGAAATAGCTAAGGGAAAATTAAAAGACCAATAACCATGAAAAACTCAGTTTGAGAAAACTGTACTCCATTAGAAGTTGCATTCCTACAACTAGTCACTGTTAAACCATTGTTCAGTAACTAGTCCCAGATCTAGAGAGTCTTACTGGCAATGAACAGGACTGAATACATACTAAATTTTTCCGGGAGTTATCAAATAATGACCACAGAGGAAATTTATTTTTTCCTCCTGGGACATGGCATTTGACTTAAAAGTTAAAAGGCCAATGTGTGATCCTACTCCCACATTTAACAGAAATATACCTATCTGAAACATATGAACACAGAAGTCCTTCACACTTCACCACTCTCTTTTGGTATTTCTCACACAGTCTCATAATTAACTGTGTATGTGCTTCCTCCTTCCTCCCATAGCCTGCTTATATCCCTAGTGATGTAATGTGTGCTGACCCACAGCAAATCCCAATTAATGGTTTTCAAAACAATGAATTAAGAACCTACTCCTTCTCACCTCACATTCTTGTTCTCGGGCTGAGCAAGACTCACTGTCTCCTTCAGTGTCCGTCTCAGAGTCATCTCCCAAGCTAATCACACAAGCATATGGGCAAGGTCCCTGCTGGGGTTCTGAAACATCATCATCGTTGCCAATTTCCAAGTTGCTTGAGCAGCCTTCAGTACTCAGAGTACTTATAAAAGGGCAGTTGACAGAACTTAACGTTGTAAAAGTCCTCTGACCTGGTTCTGGGCTCTCACTGATCCTGATGCCTAACCAAGGACACTCAGACCGTTTCTGTGAGTAGATCTGTTCTGAGCCATCTTTGGCCACCACAGGTGATAACTGCATTTGGCAAGCAGAATCTGTACTGCAAATGTCACTCCAGAAGCCTTTTGCTAGGTGTTCTGCCACTTCTCGTTCCACACTACTCCGATCACTAGATGCAAGGCTACTATCTTCCCTGGGGCCCATGTCAGATTTTAAATGTAAATCTTGACTTTCACCAAAGGTTTTCTCTTCTTGAACATCTGTATCTGACAAAGGCTTTTCTGTTAACACTGCTGTGTGCTGCATACTAGCAAAATTCAAGTCACCATATTGGTCATAAGTGTGTAAAAGAGACAGAGAATAGAGTCCATGGGGATCTGTGGAAGAACTCTGGGGGAAAGGAGTCACTTCTGTTTTCTCAGTTGGGCACTGAGATGCAGGCTCATTCTTCTTTGTTTCTTCAGGTTCCATTGCTAATTTACTTTCTTTGCATTTTAACACCTGCAATTCTGCACACTCCTGGACTCCTCCTGGGCATTCATTTTCAGATGTCTCATTTGGCTGAACAGAAGCAGGACTGTCTTTAACACTGGATTCCACAGGACGAACTCTGTCAGTCCCAAAAGCTTTTTGGAATTTTCTGTATTTGGGACATAAAGATGGTAAAGCCAGAGCAGCATCCTTTTCTAAGCACATGGATTCATAGGTTTGACTGGCACTGTCTTGTAGAGGAGGCGATATTTTTGTACTACCTTGATACCTGCGGAGTTTACATTGAGGAGTCTGCACATTTTTATTCTCCAGAAATTCCTCCACTTCATCAATTTCTAGATCCCTGTGGTCCAAAAGTGAACACTTAAGGTCTGTTTTCTGACACTGTGATGGAAAACATTTTTTTCTTGGGCATTCTTGCTGGTTTGCAGTGGAGTCCAAAAACTTAAATTTGAGAAACTGGAAGCAGGATTCCTCAATATTATGTACACTTAAAAATTCCGCACATTTGCACACCTCATCTACATTGTCTTTACTTAAAATCAGTTTAGCAGTATAGGCAAATTGAATTAAAGGTTCGAATCCTTTAACTGTCACCTGTTAAAACACAAAATAAAAACAAACACATCATTTGAAAGCAGTCCAGTAGGTAAGAAGAGAGAGAAGTAGAAGGGAAACAGAGATATATAACTTATTTGTGATAATTATAAAACATATATTTTATAATTTATACATTTATAACATAAATGTAATATAAATTTATAACATAAATTTATAATTTAAAACATATTTTAATTTGATAAGAACTATTCTTCTAGAGAAATGTAAAATGAAGGGGGCCTTGGAAAAGTATGTTTATCACACCCTAGTCACTGGGACCATGCACTTCACTTTGCAGATTCCAGGCTTGACTGCACGTGAATTACAGCGTACTCACATGAGGGAAAGACATTACCACAAGTTCCCCAAGTTAGCAGAAATAAATAATCTATGAAACAGAGCAGGATGGACACCACTTGCCGTACACACATAGTGATGCCAGGTGTCTGTTGCTAACTCTGCTCCACATAGCCACTGTATTTCAAACAACTCCAACTGCTACAAACTACAAAAGTAAAAATTACAAAGATAAAAAACAATACATATAAAGAAGTCCTCACTCATGGTAAATGCATAGTAAATATCAGTTATTATCTTTATCTGATGCCAAAATTTCTAATAATAAATTTTTTTTCAGATTCAGAATTTTTTAAATCATCTAAGTGAAGTTTTGAAAATCATGCCTCAATACTGTTTCAGCAAAAATACATGGACTCTATATAACAAAACCTTTAAGCAGAAATATGTACATTTACATTGAACCTACTCCTACAAAATGAGGGGCAAATGGAACCTGCTGAAGTACAGAGAAAGCCTCATCCTGAGTTAAAAATATAAAATTAATTTTAAACCACTGAATTCTTATAAGAGAGATCAAGATAGTAATACTCATAATATTAAAAACATGCTAAGCTATGAGTATTTAATTAACTCTTAAATGGCTAAAATAAAAAATAGTGACACCACCAAGTGTTGGTGAGAATGCAGAGAAACTGGATCACTCACAGGTTGCTGGTAGGAATGTAAAATAGTACAACCACTTTGAAAAACAGTTTGGTAGTTTCTAATGAAACTAAACATGCAACTACCACATGACCCAGCAATTGCAATCCTGGTCTTCTGTCCCAGAGAAATGAAAACTTATGTTCAGAGCAACTTTATTTGTAATAGCCAAAAACTGAAATTAGTCTGATTTCCTTCAATAGGTAAAAAGTTTAAAAACAAAAAACCAAGCAAGAACTGATACATCTATACTATGGAATACTACCCAGCAATAACAAAGAACAAACTATTGATATATGCAAGGGATCTTTGTGTGCTGGAACCATTCAGTATCTTAACTATGGTGGTGGATACATGAACCTTCACAGAGAATAGAACTGTACAAAATTTACACACAAACTAGTATATGTAAAAATGAATAATCTGAACACTATAGGTTCATCAATGTCAATATCCTGGCTGTGACACTATACTATAATTCTGCAAAGCATAAAAGGGAACTCTACATTATCTCTTATGGCTGTATGTGAATTTACAATTATCTCAATAAAAGTTTCCATTAAGAATTCTAAGCCAAAATAATCTAAAAAGGCCCTTATGACAGTTATTCAATGATATTTTCAATGTTACTATAATGATACACTATGATGACACACTTCAAACACCTGAAAACTTATGTTACTTCAAATGAGAGTGAATGAATGCATACACATGTGCATGTAGACACATGCCTTTTCTCTCAAAACCATAGATCAAACCTTGCTTTACATGGAAAGTCTCATTAAATAATCTGAAAATATGAACCATAATAAATATGTTTCCATTATAATATGTGTAATTCCTTTAAAAAAAAAACCACTAACTTTTTGCCATTTTCTTGGTATGGTACCATTCACTCTGACCTCTGCCATAGAACCGACAACCTCTACCCAAAAGAGATGTCTCTTGGAGGCAGAATGTTAACAAAGACCCAAACATTTACTAGTCTGAGGTCCACAATAGGTCAGGGAAAAAGATGTATGTAAGACTCTGTAAGTATGACACAAAATCATTTATTTTTTTCTACTAATACATAAAGACAATCTCAAGAAAGGAGAAAAAGAGAACACTTATGGAGTACCTACTTTTCACAGGGGATATCTTAAGAAAATGGATGTTTTATAGAACCCTATACCTAGCCACAGTTGCCAATCACAAGAAAAGGTCATCCACAGGGAGAAAAGTGTCACACAGCATGGCCTCTCCAAGTCCTGATCTTTCCAAATGTCTACAATCCACTAGGTGTGCTTGATTTGGTCATTTGATCAAAAATAATATAACAGTAGGTCAAGTTATTCAACTACTCAAAAAATATTAATAACTAACATCCACAATTAATGATTTTATGTGAAAAAAGCTAAAGAAATAGATTGCTCAGGTGCCCATTGATGGTAGACTGGATAAAGAAAATGTGGTACATATACACCATGGAATACTATGCAGCCATTAAAAAAATGTCATGTCATTTATAGCCACATGGATGAAGTTAGAAGCCAATATTCTAAGTGAATTTTCACCAAAACAGAAAATTGAATACCACATGTTCTCACTCATAAGTGGTTACTAAACACCAGGCACTTACAGGCACAAGGATGGGAACAATAGTCACCAGGAACTGCTAAAGAGGGGAAGGAAGGAAGGAGGATAAAGGATGCAAAACCATTCACTGGGTACCATGTTCACCATGGGGGGCGGGTGCAAGCTCATCAGAAGCCCAATATATAAAATACACATGTAACAAATCTTCATATGTATTTTTATTCTAAAAATAAAGAGGGAGGGGAGAAGAGGAAAGGGGGGAAGGGGAGGGAAAGGAGGGAAAAAGGGAACAAAGGAAAGGTAAAATGAAAGAGGAAAGGGAAGGGAAGGGAAAGGGAAGTGGGGGAAAGGAAAGGAAGTTGTTGCAGAACCTGGGAAGTGCTCCTCAGGCATCTGACTGCTTTATTTTTAACTTCATAAACCATAAGAAACTAAGTGAAGTAAAAATAAATTAAAATCACCAGCACCATGGCCCTCTCACCTCTTCTGGTAGAGTAATGTTAAGCTCTGCATCAGCCTGGCCTACGATTCTCGAGTGGAAGTAACTGCTGCACGCAGCCAGCACAGACCGGTGTGCGCGGAATCGCTGACCCTCAACGAAGACAGTGATGTCGCACAGCACGTCTTTCTTCCGCTGGTCGTTGAGGCTGAGCAAGACATTGGTGCTGTGCACCGAAGACTCATAGGCAAAAACCGAGTTCTCACTCAGAGACATTCTGCATAACAAATGGTGTTGGGAAGTTCAGCGGAAAGCATGCTTCTAACTGTCATCAACCTGCAAAGGCACAAGTGAGATTTTACTTAAACACAATCTTGTTTTAAAATGTCAAACTATCAAATACAAATTAAACACATACTCATTACCAAAACAAAAATTAAAATAAAAATATCCAGAGGAACAACTGGCACTTATTCAATATACCTCATTTAAAAGAGGTTCTTGGAAACAGCTTTTCTAACTAAACTTAGGTATAAGGTTCTGGGTGAAGAAGGGAAGAACTTTTTGCAACCAAGGATTTCATGCTTCCCTGAAAGTAAAATATTTCACACTGAGAAATTGCCAACTATGAGAAAATAGACAGGGCCAAGAAATTTCTAGGTGGCATCCCAATATTGTTTTAAGGCAGTTTGAGTGGGGGAGAACAAGTTGGGAAGAGATGGGAGGGCAGGTCCCCAGAGGTCACACTTTGGGATGAGACTGAATGGTGGAAAAAGCATGAAGCATTCCACATTCTGCATGCCCCATTCTCCAACACCTGACAGATGGTGGGTGGGTTTAGTGCTTTATAACAAGGGACACCATTCTGTAAAAGGTAAAGTTCCTTTAATACAAAGAAGAAAGTGACTCAAATTTGCTTAGGCCAGATCTTTGTAATGAATGATTTTATATACTAAGTCTTACTTTATACTACAAATAAAGGCAACAAGTAAAACTCCTTCTTCATTAAGAACATGGTTTCACACATGTAGAAACTTCTGTTTTTCTCAGAATGTTAAAACAAGACTGAGCTATCAAAATTTACATTTTTTAAAACACATACTAATATGTAGTCCTTCAAATGTTTTTTGATCGCATACATACTACTGGCCAAAAAAAAAAAGATACCCCTGATACACATATGCTTAATCTATTTTTTCAGATACGTACTACTATCCTGATATATATGTTCTAAAACACACAGAAGTTGAAAGTAAGGGGACAAAAGAGAAGTTCTAGTATTTTCTTCTGGTACCCCCCTGGCCTGTGGTGAGCATGTCCAGGTATGTGTACCCACTATGGTATAAGCACAGATGGAGGCTGGTCACCTTCCTCATGGTATTGTCCCAGAAGTTTCATTCACTTCTGTTCTTCTGACACCTTACTCACTGCCTGAAAAGTAGGAGGTTCTCAAATGACCAGTGAATTAGTGAATATAACTGTTTTCAGATTTGCTACACTCTAAAAACAAAAATGAAAGAATAAATAAAGATTACTGAAGCTCAGACAGACCAGGCCCAAATCATGGATGAATTCCGCCTCAAAGACAGGCTGTTTTAGTTGCATACACATGAAATGCATCTAAAAATTCTCTTCTACTTTATTTTTAAAGTCCTCACTATAGCTTAAATATTAAGCTCCTCAGAAGTAGTCAATGAAAATAAAATCTCAGTATGTGGTTAAACATTATCTAAGTTAAGGATACAACTTACTTACTGATTCAGTATGCCATATGAAATCACTGGTAACTTCACACTTAAATACTAAAACTAATTCAACTTTTGGGCTATTCCCAGAAAAAGTAGTACATTTCTTTAGCAGTTGGTCTGATGTCAACACAAGGAATTAGTGTTAGGAATTTTTTTTTAAAAAATCATTCAGAGAAATTATACACCTTTTGTGGGTAGTACCACGCAGAACCCTGCCCTCTTCTTTCTCCAAGATTGTACACCCTGCCTACAGCACATTGGCCTCCCCAGCCAAGCTGGACTCCATATCTGACCACCTGCTCTACTCTGTCCCTGTACCCAAGTCCCCAGACTCCTTAATCTTTCCTAGCATCTGACTTGCAAACCCTTAAAACTATACTAATCTTGTTTTTACAGTTTTTCATTCTACTGAACACAGCACAACTAGAAAACTGTAAAACATGCAGACTGCTGTCACTATTAATTTATGGTAAGTAATCTCTGGACCTCAGCACTATTCATCAATCCCTTGATATGATCCAGTTTCCTGTCCTCCATAGTAGCTTTTCACCTTGTCACCTTTCTCCTCAATCAGCATCTCTCCCAGGAAACCACCACAACCGGGACCCAACCTCAGAAAAAATACTCTACACCAGTTTCCCTCTTCCACTGAAGACAATCCATAATGTCTTCTCTTGATTCCATACTGTCTTCTCTTGATTCCACACCATCCTTGCCTCTCTAGGATCAAATTGTTTTTCCTAACACCCTCTCTTACATATATCCAACCCCTCCTTCTATGCTAGCTCCTTCTCATAGTTTTTGTTCATAAATATATTTAAGTATCCCCAGACACTGTCCTAAAAATACCAACTACTAACAGTAAATTCTGTATTAAGCTCAAATTCTATACCAGACACAGAGCTAAGTGCTAGATGCAGTTCATCGTCTTTACTCCTCATAACAACCCTACAACGCTCTTCTATCGTCCCAGTTTTAGAGATGAAGAAACCAAGGATCAGTGAAAAGTATCTTGGCCAACATCAAAACCCCAATAAGACAGGCGAGACTATCAGGCATTTTTACCTGCTCCAGTTAGTATTAGCTGAATGCACAGTACGGAGACTCATGGCAGTAACAAGGGGAGCTAGATATAACTAAAAGGTTAAGCTTGAGAATAAGAAAATGGACCTCACAGAAAGCCAGTAACAAAAGAATTGGGCCTGAGCTTCAAAAAGAGGACTCTGTACCTCGAACACTTGAACCTAAAGGCTCTTTGGATCCCAAGGTGACTCCAGCAGAAACAATTTGCACACCTTCACTCCAGAGCTGCTGGTGGCCACCCATGTGCATTGTATCTGCATCTCATCCTGCCACCAGGCAGCTCACTACTCACCTCAGATTTAAGTGAGAATTTATTCTTGGCTCAACACCTGTTTAGGTAGTTTTCGGTAACAGATTGCCTCATGGATTCATGGCTAGCTTACAGATTTGCTGTCTTTGGGTGAGATGCCAACTCCAAGTTCTATCAGCTACAGCTGAGAGAAACTAGAAAATCAGTAGTAAAACAGTCACCCAGGAAAACCCCTCTCAGAAAGGTCAGTCTCCCTTAAACTGGACTGAGCACAGGATGCATCATGACTGATGCTATTTACACCTGAAACGTGAGACTCCTTCCTGACACCTTTCTCAGCTGGATCCACTCTCCTACAGAGTCCTGTTACCTCCACCTCTTAACAATGAGGCCTACTTCTCTCCATCTGCACTGCCACAATGCTCATCCATGCCATTGTCACCTCCTGCCTGGACAAATGCCGGTTAGTCTTCTGCAAGGGGGCAGATGTACAAATACAGTTTTATAAAATAAAAAGTAAATCAAAGTCTCACATATCAATAGTTACGCTTATTGCATGTAAAGTACTTTGTTATTTCCTACTTTACTCATTTAAAAAAAACTCCCAGTTGTGATCCACTCAATTTCAATTTTTCTATATTCTTGGAAATATATGTAATTGTTACAATTCAATTTGGTGGATTAACCTACGAACCAACACATTGAAAACACAGGCCCAGCAGTTAACAGCTCAGGATTTAGAATCTTATACTGTCTGGATTCAAATCCCAGCACTGCCATTTACTAGCTAAATGACCTTGGCCAAGCTGCTTAACCTCACTGTGTCTCAATTCTCTCATCTACAAAACAGGGATAACACCACCTCACTGTGATGTTGAGACATTTATAGTAGATGATGAAGGAAAAGGGTTTATAGCAAGTACAGTGACTGGCCTACAGCAAGCAAACAATAAATATTAGCAGCTATTAATGATACTAATATTAACAAAAGCCTTACACGCCTCAAACCCTTCTTGACCCCCTTCATTTTATTCTCCTCATGTCAAAGTATTTTTTTCTCCCTTGCCGAAAACCTATGTCATCCTCCAAATTACTTATGATTGCTTCAAAATCCTTAACATGCCCTCAAGACCTGTGTGGTCAGGTTTTCAATCTCTTAGCCCAGCCTTATCGCAAACCCTTGTCTCCCTCTCTTGCTAATCTCCAGCTTTACCATCTTTTCCTTCTGGCTCCATAGACACCAAGCTCCCACTGATCTCAGAGACTTTGCATACCCTGTGCCTGGACTTCTTTTCAGTTGCTTAATGCCTCATCTTTTAGGTCTCAGCTTTAATGTCACAACTGACATTAACCCTAACTCTATTACCTGGTAATAGAGTACCTGGTCAAACACAGGTACTTGCTGCTGAATGAATAATTTGACATTTGTAAAATAAGTCTCAAACCCAGAATATCTGGATCTTCTTTCAATCACAGCCCAGTCAGCTATTCCAATATAATTGAAAACACGACCACTGAGCCAAGCACTTGAAGTTCTTGGATGGTTTTTCTGGAGCCATGAGGAGCGAAAGGGAGCCCCAGCTCATCCCTCTGGAAGTCAGAAACATCTGTAAGACAACTGAGCAAGAAAAATACCAGTTGGCAACTATAAACACAGCCAACACAACTGACTTGTAGGAACAAAGACACCTTGGCCCTGGCTCTCATTAGCATGGCACCGCATAGACAGGTGTTTGGAAAATCAAGTTTCCCAATTCTGGAAACTAAGTGGTCAGTAATCCATTTTTACCTAGTAACTTACAAGTAACGATTATACCAGATAAGAATGGCACATGCATGTCCTTCTGACATCCATCAGGCACCTTCTAACATTTTTCAAATCTAAAAGTAAAATATAACACTCCAGCCTTCCAGATCAAAATTCTTTGTATTAACATCAAATTTAGATTTCTATGTTACACCTGAATTTTTCTACATTCTTGGAAAAATATATAATTGTTATAATTTAAAATAAAGATCTGCTGACCTTAGCAAATTGCCGATTCATTCACTAATGCTGATAAAGGATGAACAGGCATCTTAAAGTTTCCTGCATCTCAATTTGGAAATAACTTCTAAGCTCTGCTTAATATACACAATTTACATTTTATTAATAATAGTTACCACCACTTGATGTTTCTGCTTTCAAAATGATGCAGAAAATAAAACAAGATGCTGTGGCTTTATTACAGTTTAATAACTAAAGATAATTTACTAAAAAAAAAC